TCCCAACATCCACGGTTTGATTAAAAAGTAAAAATAACACCCTGTTGCGATCTCACATTTACTATGATGATCAAGGAAAGGATCGTTTTGATCTGCCGCCTTTCTTTCTGCTCTGCATCTCCTCCAGTTTCTCTTCATTTACGGACTGATCTCAGCTAAGATCAGTCTGCTAAGTGACTAAACATTAGCGTACTTTAGCCATTCAGTGCTTTTGGTGCCATAAACTGGATCCAAAATGCACAGTGTGTATCGACATAAGTGCGCTATACAATTAGGAATCCATATTTTCTATACCGCCTATTCCTACTAGGGTCATAAGAGAGGGAAATGCTGCTTCTGGGCTAGAGTCCTAGCCAACACTGCAATTTCTAGCGTGTATGAGTTTTGACCATGGTCCTTATGTTGACCCTAAGATCAAGATCCTACGAGATCTACAAGCATCAGTAAATAAGCCTAATCCAAGCCTTTAAAGCCCGATCCAGGAAAAATAGGAAGAATATTGGATTTTTTTAGTCTGAAGTCTTTCTTTTGCCCCTCAACAACATACGAAGAAAAAAAACAGAAATTATTTTGATCAAATTAGCGTGCAATAAGTCAAAAATATATGTTGGTGTAGTCTTCTACTGGCTGTTATCAGGTATATCTGAATGTGTACAACAATGACGATGCAAAAAGTCTCAGAAACCGTATTTGCATTAAAGGGCTAAAAGCTATGGATACGCTAGCAACATAAGAATTCAAATTACTTCAAGGGGGGAAAAAAGACCAAACAGTTGGTTTCATTGTCCAGATCCAGACGTTTTTCTTTATTCTATCTTTGAGTCTTCTGACAGGAGTCATTACTCTACTGTACTTAATCTGTATTTTTTGTATTTTTTTTGCATTTTGCTCTCTGTGTGCGACTTTTTTGCCCTGTAAGCTGCTGTTACTTTAATTTCCTGAGGGAGTCTTCCCAAGGGATCAATAAAGTACAAGTCTAAGTACAAACCAGTACTCTAAGTCATGCTAACCAGTACTCTAAGTCATGCTAACCAGTACGCTAAGTCATGCTAACCAGTTCACTCAGTCATGCTAACCAGTATGTTAAGTCATGCTAACCAGTACGTTAAGTCGTGCTAACCAGTTCACTTAGTCATGCTAACCAGTATGTTAAGTCCTGCTAACCAGTACTTTAAGTCATGCTAACCAGTACGCTAAGTTGTGCTAACCAGTTCACTCAGTCATGCTAACCAGTATGTTAAGTCCTGCTAACCAGTACGCTAAGTCATGCTAACCAGTAAGCTAAGTTGTGCTAACCAGTTCACTCAGTCATGCTAACCAGTATGTTAAGTCTTGCAAACCAGTACGCTAAGTCATGCTAACCAGTACGCTTAGTGGTGCTAACCAGTATGCTAAATCTTGCAAACCAGTTCAGTAAGTCATGCTAACCAGTAAGCTAAGACATGCTAACAAGTACAAGTCCTCAGCAGGTGGGAAATGAGTTTATTTTAACAACACACCGAGAAGAATTCAGTTTTCCTCATATCAGGAAGTAATCTCGACAAGTTATGGAAACCGTGTCATTCCGTAACAACCTTTTCTATCCGTTCGGATGACATTTGTCTCACTTTGGATCAAATGCAGGTGACGTTTATCCAGCACAAAGCTTTGTTGTAAACCGCCAAAAGATTGCAGTTTTCAAATATATTTTGATTTCCTGAGGGAGTCTTCCGAAGGGATCAATAAAGTACAAGTCTAAGTCTAAGTCTAAGTCCAGCTCTGCTCGTAGTGTGCGTCTTCCCTGCTTGAATTTGTCTATTTGTCCAGAGAGATTCCTGGTTTTGTCAGCCAATGGCAGGTACAGAAAGCAGCCCCTGGAACAAAGGCGGCAGATGGGGATATGAGTGGAGACATGGGGGGATTTTCTGAGACTTTCCTGACAGACGTTGTAATCCCGGACGTAAAGCCAAGACACAGCGTCGCCCTAATCTGGGTATTAAACTAATAATCATCCACATTATCCACCCAGGAAGCTCATGTGTTATGTTTCGGTGGATATTTATCTATCTGAGACACCCAAGTGCACGACGGGGCATCTGGTGCTCGGATATGCTCCATTCGGATTTCAAACAAAAAACAGTGTCGATAATTGAGTCTAGATTTTATTTCCAGGCTCAAATCTGAAGGAAGGACTGCGGAGGAATGTGTTGGAGGTGCACAGGACACAAAAAAAAAAAATCACTGTTTTCACACGACAGGCTGAGAAAATCAAATGGGGCTCCAGGTCGGGGTATGAATATTTCAGGTGTCTAAAAGCAACCACAACAGCTAGGTCTGAGTGAAAAGCCACAGGCAAAGCAGCAGAGAAGAAGAACTAGCATCCGGCTCCCTGATCCAGCTACACAACATCCCAAACACCCACATTTTCACAGAGATTTGAGTTTGAACCGCTAGCCCTAATGCTGCCGCCCCAGGAGATGCTGAGTCATGCTAACCAGTATGCTAAGTCCTGCTAACCAGTGTGCTAAGTCATGTTAACCAGTATGCTAAGTCCTGCTAACTAGTGTGCTAAGTCCTATTAACCAGTACATTACGTCATGCTAACCAGTGTACTAAGTCCTGCTAACTAGTGTGCTAAGTCCAACTAGTCAACCAGTATGCTAAGTCCTGGTAACCAGTTTCCTAAGTCCTGGTAACCAGTACGTTAAGTCATGCTAACCAGTACACTAAGTCATGCTAACCATTGTGCTAAGTCCTGCTAACCAGTATGTTAAGTCATGCTAACCAATATGTTAAGTCATGCTAACTAGTGTGCTAAGTCCTGCAAACCAGTACGTTAAGTCATGCTAACCAGTACACTAAGTCATGTTAACCAATGTGCTAAGTCCTGCTTACCAGTATGGTAAGTCATGCTAACCAGTACGTTAAGTCCTGCTAACCAATACACTCAGTCATGCTGACCAGTATGTTAAATGATGCTAACCATTATACTAGGTCCTACTAACTATTACACTGAGTCATGCTAACCAGTGTGCTAAGTCATGCTAACCAGTACACTAAGACATGCTAACAAGTACAAGTCCTGAGCAGGTAGAACATTAGTGTATTTTAACAACATACCAAGAAGAATACAGCTTTTGCACATATCAGGAAGTAATCTCGACAAGTTATGGAAGCCGTGTCATTCCGTAACAACCTTTTCTATCTTTTTCGGATGACATTTGTCTCACTTTGGATCAAATGCAGGTGATGTTTATCCAGCACAAAGCTTGGCGGTAAACAGCCAAAAGATTGCCGTTTTCAAATATCTTTTGATCTTAAGCCGCGCCTCTTTGAAGAGTGAGTGTGTGCTCCAGTGCTCTGGCTACTCGGAGTGACCCAGATTGTGTGTTTGTGTGTTACATGACTGGAACGGCATAATTAGATTGCCTTTTTCACCTCTTTCATTCCCCATCTTTGAGGCTCAATCCACTTAGCTGGTAGAATTATACACTCGTGACAAGTCAATTAATCTCACTGATAAAAGATGCAGCGGTGAGGATCCGACATTGTAATTTCTAATTACTGGAGTGTAATTTTTGGAAGTAATGCGAAATGAGTCACCCATTTCTCCCTGGTAGACCTAATGAGGCAGATGTGCTTCAGACTGAATGTGTTGGCTGTTTTATTGTGTACTGCCCAACTGTTGGAATTAGAGCACAACAACACAAGTCCCTCATCGACGGGTTGCTTTACATAAAGCTCAAATCTAATATAGCGTGAACAGGTCGGCTCTGAGGCTAAAGAGTTAAATCAGAATGAGGTAGAACTCGGATTCGAGGTTTTTCCGAATTTATGAGTAGGTACTAAACATAACAAATTCTCCAAAAACCAAACAAACCTCATCTAATGTGATTAGTCCCACAAACAGAAGGACCATTTGGAGCTTTTCTAACCGGGAATGCATGCAAAAAAAGGGAAATGGTTCATTAACTACATCACTGCAATTTTTGTGTTGGGGAAAAAAGCGGGAAAAGGTCAATGGGATCTCTGTGATTGGAGATATTGTATACATGTATTTAGAAAAAAAGGGAAAAAGCTACACAGCTGTAGGTTAGCCAGTACCAAATCAATTAATTTCCTGTTCGCTTTATGAGGAAAATAAGGAAAACAGCAACAGATTTTTAAAGTGTGGATTGTGTGAGGATATGGAAAATGTAAATGATGGTTTATTCTGGGAGAAGGGGGTGGAATACAGACACAGGAGTGTTCGACCTATGCACACTGAGGCAGTGAAGAAGAAGTCAGTCTTCGGGGGTGTTGTGGCTTTTTTACTTAGTTTTTTGTTTGGTTAATCGTGCAAAAAAGTCTGAAAAGCCTGAAAAGTTTTCCAAAAAAAAAGATGGTGTCTCTTTGAGGACAGGTGAGCATCTTACTGTGAATTAACCAAGTCCAGCTTCTTAAATGACACATTGGATTAAAGCTCAATCCCTTACAGGCTGTTCTGGAAAAGAATCAGCGGTCCTGTTCCAGAAAATGTCAAACTGCTCAGAAATTTGTTGAAGGGTTTCTTTAAACTTGACTTATTTTGGTGAAGATTGGCTGAATTGGTCTTGTTGTTTTATGCTGGTGGAGAAAAAGATTTCAGATCTACCTACCTCCCTACCTACCTACCTACCTACCTACCTACCAACTGACCTACCTACCTACCTATCTACAGTGGGGGAAATAAGTATTTGAGCCCTTGCTGATTTAGCAGGTTTGCCCACTTACAAAGAATGCTTATTTTTCCTCATCAGATGGTTATCAATTTTTATAAATTCATATGATGTGATTTTCTGGAATTTTCTTTGGGATTCTGTCTCTCACTGTTAGAATGTACATATGATTAAAGTTATAGATCGTTGCATTCTTTGTAAATGGGCAAACCTGCAAAATCAGCAAGGGGTCAAATACTTATTTCCCCCACTGTACCTACCTACCGACCTACCTATCTACCTACCTATCTATCTACCTATCATCCAACCTATCTACCTACCTACCTACTGACCTACCAACCGACATACCAACCGACATACCAACCGACATACCAACCGACATACCAACCGACATACCAACCGACATACCAACCGACATACCTACCTACCTACCTACCTACCTACCTACCTACCTACCTACCTACCTACCCGGCCCATAAAACAGGAGATTTATTAGAATCAGCACCCAAAAAAAGTCATTTTGAGCCGTTTGCCTGGCGTCTAGATGTCACCAAACTGCTTGGGTCGAGGGCTGATCCTCATGGTTTCATGTAGAGATGAGCAGGCTCTTTCGGGGGGTTTCCGTGTAGGGTCTTGAGGGGCCAGCCGCCATTGGGCGAGAGGCGGGGCATTGATACACTATGTTAAGCCACATAAATGGTGCCTGTGGGAGTCTTTAGCGGCAGTGTGCATAACCCTAAGCCTGTTTATGGATGCGTGCCACTTAGCGCGGTTTGATACATCAGTTAAGGCTAATAAGGAGCTATTTTCCCCTCGATTGCGGTGTTCTCGATGTCCCGATAGCGCTAATCTGATTCATGGTGACGTCTCCGTGCTAAGGCACGTCAGCAAATGTGATTCAATCCGCTCCCCCCGCCGGATCGCCGCGGCTTTCCAGAGCTCTCTCCATTTTCCCGGCTGTGAGCACTTAGCACGGCGTTTACTTGAGGGCCCGTTAGTCACGCCCAATTAGAGACACATCGTCTGCAAATTTACACGAGGTTCCCGACAACACCAAGGCTCCGTTTGCTCCAATCACATTGCTCCAGGGCTTCCTGTCGCTGTAACGGGTGGAGACTTTATGGCAGGGATTCCCAAAGGGGGGGTCAAAAGTCGATTTCAAGAAATAAATAAAACATTTAAAAACTATTACAAATAGTATGTTAGCCATGATTGTAACACAAATTAAAACTAGTGGCTAAATTTAAAATAAAACCAAGCAAATACAGTAGAACCTGTAGTTCTTTTTGCCTAAACATAAAAATTTCCAATGAAATATTCGACTCAACACCCAAAGTAAATTTCCAACGTACGTCGCACTCATAGAAAAAAATATAGAAAATGAAAATAAATAAGCTAATTAGTTTAAAGTTCCCGTATGGGAAGTTAGAGGAAGTTATGGTTCGTACTGTATCTCACTCACCACCTCTACCCCCACACCGACGAATTTAGCCAAAGCTAAGTCATTAGCCTCTCATTAGCTTCTCGTTAGGTTAAGTTCAAATTAAGAATATTAAGAGGTTCTACTGTAAATAAAAAGTGAACAGCTCTTTTGACTACTCTGTCATGCGACTAAACCTTGAAGACAGCGTTTAATTCTAAGATGCTAGCTGGGTTTTGGATTTCAACTGAGGGAAAACTCACAGACCTCCAACATTAAACCGATACTAAGTCATACATGTTGCACATCCACTCATTAGGTTAAGCTCAAATTAATGAGTAAATGACTGTAAAATAACATTCTGGCCATTGTGCTATTTTGTGTATTCAATGTGCTCGTGTATGGATGTTTACATAGGATCTAAAGGCAGGAGGTGTCCTTCTGAGCTCTGATTGGCTGTTTCTGACAAAAGTAAGTCAATTAAGAGCTATTTGATTTTTTTCAGAGTGCGTTTAACTGCAAGCGATTAATGACAAAGCCTCCAATTAACAGGATTACAACAGCGACTGGGTCCCCACAGACAAAACAACTCAGCTCTGAGGCAGAGCAGAAGAAAGTCCAGCTCCTTAAAGGTATATAGGCCCATTTATTCAGTCGGTTTAGTTTAGTTGGTTTGGTAGAGTCCAGACTTTGGAGTATTTGATATGGGAATTATCTGTTTAATAAAGCTGGTTGGATTAGAATTCAGACTGCGTTGCTTGGGAGAATTTAATCATCTCTATGTGTTTCTATGGCTTCAGAAATGTCGGTTATTGATTTCCTGTAGTCTGACTTCTTAGTCAGACCATTTAACCCCAAACACTGAATCCCTGCATCATAGTTTACACACAGATTTCTGAGCCCTAGTGCTTCTTCGTATGGTGAAAACTACTTTTTTTAATAAGGGTATTTGATGCATTTTGATTTCTAATGAAAATATGCGGAATTTTTTTATGAAATTTGATGAAAAAACAAACATTAATTGTGTTGTTCCATATTTTTTCCCTTTGGCTAAAATGATATTTCTTATCCTTTTTCTTGTTGTATCAGGCTTTATGGGGTTAGAATAGGTTGGGTTACCATGGTTTTAAAGGTGGGTTCAAACAGTCCTCCACAAGTACCCGCGGCTAATGGGGATGAAAGCACTCAGGACGAATGAAAGAAAGACGTTACAATGGCTCTGAGGAAACGCATTCAGCGTTTTAACGCCTCCGATCCTCTCAGGCTGCTCGGTATTCTACACGCACAAATGTATTAATGCTTCAATTAAAGCTCCGACAATATAAGAGCGGATTAAAGCCAGTCACCTCCCAAAGAACACTGGGATGTGAGGAGAGTGATAAGTTCACAATGTGTAGGAACTCTTACCCGATTCTTTAGTGGGAAACCTGAGAATAAAGGATCCGGAGTGGATCAAAAGTGTAAAAATGACATTTATTGGACACAGTTAAGTGTATCAGCTCTGACAGACTAAAACCTCTCTCTGGGTCTCAGTGGTAAAGAGCCCTGAGATCTGGGTGATGGGCATTATCTCCTGGGCTCCATCCGCCTCCTCAAAGGAGGACTGGACACAACCAAGTCCTATTGGCCAGTTAGCTCTGGGCACGAACAGGCCAGGTCCTAATTCATGCAGAGGACAGGAATGTGCTAACAAATGGAAAAGAGAGAAAAGAGAGTCTGTGGACACAGCCAGAGACTTTAACACAAAAATAATGTTAGATCATGTGATAGCATACTATGCTAACGTGAGTAATTATAGCCAAATTTGAACAGTTACGAGGCTTTTTGTTACTCCCAACCCGATTCTTTAGTTAGAGTTGGAGTAGACCAAAAGTACAAAAATATTGGACACAACCAAGTCCTATTGGCCAGTTACCTCTGGGAGTGAACAGGCCAGGTCCTAATTCATGCAGATGACAGGAATGTGCTGACAAATGGTGTGTGTGTGTGTGTGTTGACCTAAAGGTGGATCTAATGCAACAGAGAAAGGAAAAGACAGAGGAGAGACTGTAACACAAAATATAGTTATAAAAGGAATACGACTATCAGTAATTAGCATAGATCATGTGATAGCGTACAATGCTAAAATGAGTAATTATAGCCAGATTCTAACAGAACGCACAAGTAAAGGAAACAAACGCAGTTTCCCCCCCACATCTGTCACCATATCTTGGGTTGAGTTATGTCTGGTCCTTGAAAGGAACCCAGCATGAACCCTAACCCCGGCTGCCCAGGGCTCTGGGACTTCGGGGGTAGGGTCAAAGGTTTAAGTCAGAAATAATACTCAAGAGAGACAAAAACAAGGAGGATTGGAAAACAAAATCACTCTTTTGAGGTGAAACAAGAAGCTAGGGAAGAGTAGATTCGAGGACAAGGCTAATGGTCAGTAAGGGTCAAAAGACGGAAGACGAAACACAAACCAAAAACAAGGAGAGACTCGGACTATTTAAACACAAGGGAAGGAACCCCAGGGGAACACAATAGATGACACACAGGGGAGTGCAAGTGGCCTTAAACAAGGGGATGTAGCTTTCAAAATAAAACAGGAAATGACATGACAACTATCGAGACAGGACCAAACACCAAAATTTGCTAATGAAGTTACAGGGGAACGCTACTGGAATTTGCGTTGGAATTGGATTGGCATTTCCTGGAAAGCCGAAGGGAACCCCAGGGGAACAAAATCACTTATCAGGGAAGACAAGCAGACATGTGACACACAGGGGAGACCTGAAACAAGTGGATGTACCTTTCAAAATAAAACAGGAACTGACATGACAACTATCGAGACAGGACGAAACACCAAAAATGAGACGTGACAGGGTCAGTTTCTCAAAGACGAAGTCAGAAGTTACAGGGGAACGCAAAGACAAAAACAAGGAAGAACGGAAAACAAAACCACTCTTTCGAGGTGAAACAAGAAGCAAGGGAAGAGTAGATTCGAGGACAAGGCTAATGGTCAGTGAAGGTCAAAAGACGGAAGACGAAACACAAACCAAAGACAAGGAGAGACTCGGACTATTTAAACACAAGGGAAGGAACCCCAGGGGAACAAAATCGGTTATCAGGGAAGACAAGCAGACATGTGACACACAGGGGAGACCTGAAACAAGGGGATGTAGCTTTCAAAATGACAGGAAGAAACACCAAAAATGAGACGTGACAGGGTCAGAGGTTTCTCAAAGACGAAGTGGTAAGTTACAGGGGAACTCTACTGGAATTTGCGTTGGAACTGGATTGGCATTTCCTGGAAAGCTGAGGGATGTAGTGCTAACTCGTGGACGGCCGCTCTCTGGGTCGGGTTCTGTGATTCGATGATCAAAGAGGCGCTGGCGGGCGGTAGCCGTCAAGAACTGTGAATCACGGACTCGGGGAGGCGTCCCGGTTGGGGAGAACTGCGGGCAAACACGACCTCGTCACATCCCATTTTCAGCCGCTCCCATTAACTTTTCATCTGGAGCAGAGAGCTGCTGCCTCTCCTCTGATCTCCTCATAAAAATGCATAATTCCCACTGTCACCGCAGGAGAACCAGAGGACAGTTTGAATGTATTCGGGGGGAAATTAGGATGCATGAGTGCTTGAAGCATTCCCTGTGAAAGCCGGGGATCCAGGCGCCCGCTCCTTCGGGAATAATTCAGCATAAAACAAGCTCTCTGCTTTATTTAACGGCGCTGAAACAGCTTCATTTCAAACACAATCCGTCAGAGAGGCAGGCTGCCTGTCAGGTAGCTGAAATAATCTGAGGGTATCTCTAAGTGTTTACCAAAAAAACAACAAACTTAAATTCTGATTTGGAAACTGACTAATGATGAGAGTCAGTGGAACAGGAAAAATCGTTAGTGAGCTTTATCATATCGTCATACTGGGGTAGAGGAGTGGAGTAGAAGTACAAGTACTATATAAGAAAATTGATTTGAGTAAAAGTTGAAGTGTT